TTTGCACTGCCCGGAAAGCCGTGTTGTTACATTCAAAATCGAGGGAATGGATCGAGGTAGTTTCAGCAGTTTTGCAAATGATATAGGTGTGGTTCAGAAATTCGGTCTTTTGTGTACATGAAATATGTTTATTAAACCGCTTAAAAGTTGTCCTGTGTTTGACGAGTTACTTCAGAATCGTCGTTTTGTTGCTTGTTGACTGTGAGTCGAGATTCCTCATTGATACATGACCGATTGACCAGAACTGTTATTTTCTGCACGCTAAATGATAGACAGAGTGTAAAACATAGAACGCTCTTCTCTCGCTAAAAGCTTCGTTTGTCGCTGTAAAAAGAAAACAAAACTTAATATAATAAAACTTTCGGTAATGGTTAAAGACGGTTTTTTAAGTCTCTAGAGACTGATATTTTTATGTTATTGTAGCACAGAAATTGACAGCAAGAGCGCCGATGCAAATTACCTTCAACCAACCGAAAATTCCTTGCAGTATTTATGTTCATCCCCTCCTCAAACCTTTGAAGAAAGCACAAAACTTTTCCCTGCTTCTCCACGCTAGTGGATTTTTGATTTTTTTTTTTCGAAGGGGAAGGAGAAAATGTCCTCGACTACAACACTGACTGCTACGCGAGATGCAGTTTGAGCGTCCCCAGACAAAGTAATTGGATTTTAAAATCCTTGAATATTCCAACAGGGTCGCTTTCCTGGGGCTAAAAAACGCTAACTAACGAAATTTCAAACACGGCGTCCATGTTTTCCTCAAAATGAGATGCTATAATTTCTCGTCCCAGTTCGTCCGTTGAAATCAAAATAAACAACGGTCTTTCACAGAAACCTTAGTCTGAGTATAAAAGGGAGCTTTGGAGGGAAAAAAAATAAGCAAAATATGAAATTCTATGAGAAGTGAACACTACTGAAAATCTAACTGAGCTTCTGCCATTTGATCACATTAACTCACGTTTTTCCTCAAGCTAGTCACTAAAAAAATTCATTAACAGTTACAATAACTTTGGTGAAATAACGTTAAATTGAGTGTAATATAATAATTCAATCAGCAAAACATGGCTGTCAAAATTCAGTTGCCAAGGTAAGATCAATGTGGACATACACGTCACGACGAATTCAAATGTTTCCAGGTAAATGTTGATAAATGTCGCTAACTTTGGTGGTCCTAACTCTAACGGTTATGAAGTTATTCAACTTTCTAGCGTGGGTGGGAGGGGGGGAGGGCTTCAAATGTCCATTCAGGTCTGAATAAGGTTAAGAACCCACACTGTTCGTAAAGCGGAGGGGATATAGCTCTCGGCTTGGTGGTCTATCTCTCGTGGGAGTTGGGACTGTTCCGGGGCCGCTGTTATTGACGTCAGGCTATTGCGGGCACCCTAGACAGAATTCATTTTGGCGAATCTGATAAAATAAAACTTGAAAGTTATCCAGATTAATCCAGCCTTAAGCACCAAGAGGAAATGTACCAAACTGAAATGAGAATACTTTAAGCAGCACTTCTAGCCCATTTACTTCGGGAAAAAAAGCATTAACGACATTAACGCTGTAAAGCAACAACAAAATCAAAGCTCTGTCCCAGCCACAACTGCAGTACTCTCTCCAACAAACACAGCTGTTTGGCACAAATATGCAACTCTTTAACTCGTTTGGTGCGGATGTCGAGTATTCTAGACATGCGCTTTTGAGTTTCTCAGTACGAACGTCGAGTTTTTTAACGCTTACAACTTTGTGGCATTCATCGAGG